AACACCATAGAATATGTTACACTTGTTTGCCTTATCCACCTTATTATTTTGTCTCCCTAGAAGCTCCGAGGCACATTTTTAAGACTGTACTTGCTCCACCACCTTTTGGAAAAAAAGTGTTTTGTAGCTTTTCTCTCTCCCCACCGTATAATCATGCAACAATATTTTTAATTTTCCTAAAATTAAAACCTCCTTCTGCTTCTAGGGGACATGAACAAATAATCTAAAAGTAGCAAAATTTACATTTCAGATCCCATTAACTCTCTGGCAAATCCACAAACAACTGCTTTGGGAGGGGTTGGGGGGGACCATACTCTCTGAAACAATGTAAAACTAAAATGTCCAGCATCCAAACAAAAATCAATAGGGGTAAAAGTTAATTATTTCCTATATACCAGCAATAGACAATTGAAATTTAAAATTAAAATTAAAAAATATATACTATGTAAAATAGCATAAAAAAAAAACCTTATGTATAATCTGGCTGGTATTTCTCAGTGGATTGAACATCATCCCATGCACCAGGTGGTCACCATTTTGATTACTGGTCAATGCACCTGCCTGGGTTTCCAGCTAGATCTCCAGTAGGGGGCGTGCACGAAGTGGCCGATTGATGTTTCTCATCGATGTTTCTATCTCTCCTTCTTCCCACTCTCTCTAAAATATCAACAAAATACCTTTTAAAAAACATATATATAAATCTAACAAAACATATACAGGATCTGCATGTGGAAAAGTACAAAACCCTAATGAAATTCCTAATTAAAAAGAAATATTATCCACGTTCAGTGATTAAAAGATTCAATATTTATAAGATGTCAATTCTTGTACACTTGATCTATAGAGTCAATGCAATCCCAATCAAAATCATAGTAAGTTATTTTATAGATAGCCACAAACTGATTTTAAAATGTTTATGAAAAGGCAAAGAACCAAGAAGAGTCAATGTAATAATGAAGAAGAACAAAGCTGGAGAACAAGTCATTTTCCAATATTTCAAGATTAGTATCTTGCTACACTAATCAACACAGTGTGCTATTGGTGAAAAATAGACACAGTGATCAGTAGAAAGCCCAGAAATAGACCCATGCAAGGTAAACATAGTCAATTCTTTATTTATAAAGGCAATTCAAAAAAGAATCATATTTTCAATAAATGTTACTGGAATAATTGGATGACTGTAGCCAAGTCCTTTGATAGATAAATAGATAAACAAACTGTGGTGCATCCATACCATGTAATATTACTCAGCAATTTTATCTAATAAAGAGGGAATATGCTAATTGACTGTCATACCCTCACAAGATGGTGGCATCCATAGCCAATAAAGAGGAAATATGCTAATTGACTGCCATGCCCCCACAAATGGCGGTGCCCACAGTCACAAGATGGTGGTGCCCAGTCCCCTTAGCCCCACTTCATCCAGCCAGAATCCCCCAAGCCCCTTAGCCTCACAAGGGAGGGCAGTTGGGGACGATCATGCCAGCAGGGGAACAGTTAGGCATCAATCAGGCAAGTGAGTGGTTAGCAGCCAGCAGTCCCGGATTGTGAGAGGGATCCCAAATTGGAGAGGGTGCAGGCTGGGCTGAGGGACAACCCACCCCCCATGCTCAAATTTTGTGCACCAGGCCTCTAGTAGAAAATAAATGAGCTAAGGAGACACACACACACACACACACACACACACACAAAAAAAAAAAAAAAAAAAAAACCCTCAGATGCATCCTGGTAATACAGGCCTATAGTAAAAGAAAAAAATAATGTAAGGAAAAGTTTAACAGCTTCAAAAGAAGAAGAAAAAAAATGCAGATTGCCTACACGGAAATGGGCTTATTTTGATATTTGAATTATCAACTATAATGGGTACTAGAAAGTATAAAGGCAAAGCCATCAAACAGAAAATTATTTTGAGACTAGAATATCTACCAAATGATAAATCAAGTGTGAGAGCAAAACAAACACATTTCCTGGTATTTGAGAACTCAGATATTTTATCTTCCATTTACTGTTTCTTGAAAATTATTTGAAAACACAATCCAACAAAATGACCCATATATACAAGAAAGAGGATGATATGAAATCCAAAACAATGCAAATAACGCAGTAATTCAATTTTTTAAAAAAGTCCCAGATAACCGTGCTCGGAAAGCTACATATTAGTGAAAATTTCGATTCATTAAATAGTGCAGTCAAGGTAAATTTTGAGGATCTGTGTGCTTCCCCTGTTTAAAAAAATTAACTAGAATTGTTAAAACAAGTTGAAGAACATTACCACATCCAAATATGAATTAAAACAAATTCTGGTGTCATTTTAGGTAAAATTTGAGCATGATTTATAATATTAAATAAAGAGATTTTTTTTCTCTCTTATGGCACAGCTTCTATGTCGCAGAATTAGATTTCCTTTACTATGAGTCTTTTTGAACTACTTGGTTCTGCAATATTTCTTAATCATAATAGTAAGAACAACAATACTTACTTAATATATATACTATACTCTAAGTCCTTGACATTTATTAGCCAATTTAGTCCTAAGTGACTTGCCCAAGGTTACCCACTAGTTAGTGAACCCCAGCCTTCCGGTTCCAGAATACCTGCTCCTACCTAAACACTGCCTACACCTCCTCATAATGCTCTCACTTACAGTTCTTAGAATCAATCTATCAATCCAGAGCAGGACGCCATACTGACACTGATAAAACAGAATTTAAATTACATAAAACTTTAAAAATACATCTTATATATTATATGTTTGTATAAGATTTATATATAATTTTAAATAATATAAAAATCAGCAGGGGAAGAGAGATAATGAACTTAACTAAATTCCTCAGATTTCATAGCAAGTATCGTGGTTGATTTTATGGGTATACATCAACTGTCACTAAATATTGTCTAAGTTTAATTAAAAAATATATAACTTGCTCTAGTCGGTTTGGCTCAGTGGATAGAATGTTGGCCTGTGGCCTGAAGGGTCCCAGGTTCGATTCTGGCCAAGGGCACATGCCTGGGTTGCAGGCTCCATCCCCAGTGGGGGGTGTGCAAGAAGCAAGCCGATCGATGATTCTCTCTTATCATTGATGTTTCTATCTCTCTCTTCCCTCTTCCTTCCTCACTGAAATCAATCAATATATATATATATATATATATATATATATATATATATATATATATATATATCTTATATGGTAACTCAGAAAAAAAATCTAAAAACATAACAGTTGAAGTTGCTACATCAAGAAATAGCAGTATTCCCCGGTCTTTGTGTCTGAGTTGATTGGGCATCCTCCCGCACACTGAAAGATTGCCAGTCCAATTCCCAGTCAGGGCAGATGCCCCAATGTGGATGACCCCCCCCCCCCCCGTAAGGGGCATGCAGGAGGCAGCCAATCAATGTTTCACTCTCACATGATCTTTCTTTCTCCCCCTCTCTCTCCCTCTTTCTAAAAAAATCAATTTAAAAACAACAACAAAGAAATAGCAGTATAAACAAATTATTCAAAACTTGGGAGAAATATCAGAAAAGCTAAAAATAGAAAAGGAGGGGGGACCGAGATGACTTGTTTTTACCATTTTAATTTTTATTAAAAATATTAGATCTTATTTTATTATAAAAAAAATAAGTACCTACTACTATTAATAATAATAGTACTGTAAAAAAAAAAAAAGGCAAAAAACTGAAAAGGGAGACTTTCACCTCTGACATGAAAATACAATAGGACAGTAAGGGCCACCAGACCATGTAACCCCGTAAGGTACAAAAAGAGACACCAGATAATATATTGCATGTTACAGAATACTCATCTTTGCTGAGTTTGTTTCCACATCATTATGGTCTAAATGGCCTAACTTTGTCAAATAAACTTCTAAAAAGACCATCATTTCATTGGCTTTAGACAGCTATTGAGTATCACACACTCCAATCCTTCACCTCACCTATTTCATTTAAAGAAAGGGCCCTGTGAATTCACATCACTGGCAGAGGTTTACATTGGTGAAACCTTTTCAGAGTAGGATTTGGCAGTCCTCGTTGAAATGTAAACTAGGGCTAACTTCATTTCTCAGAATCTCCCCTACAGAAACACTTGCCAAATGCTCAGAGGTAACTCTATACACAGATTTTCAACTAGGGCCTAGTTACTAGGCTATTACTGTTTATATCAGGGGGGTAGGGGGTGGGGAGAGACAACAACCTTAAATGCACATTGGTACATGCAGAATATTTTAAAAAATGAGACACATCTATATCAAATAACCCTAAAAGCAATATATACACCCACACATACATAGGAGTGGGTGGGTTTAAGATGTGAAGAGTTTTTTTTTTACCCTGTGAATTTATGATTTTTTTTTTACTACCAGCATTATTGTTTTTATATTTCAAGAAATTAGAACATGCCTCAACTGCCATGTATATGGAATCAAAATAATCCAAGAAGAGGAAAAACTCAAACCTAAGTGGGGGGAAAAAATCATATGGTAATTGGCACGTTGCAGTCCAGGAGGGTGCAATGGCTGGCGTCACCGGTTGGGTCATTCTTTCGTGAACTAAGGCAAGAAAATGAGAGCACAATTGAGGCTCAGTTGAGGCGTGGACCCTTGAGCGGCGGGGCTCCCTGGCAGTCCAGGGACTGGGCGCAGGGGGGACCCCTAGGGTGAGGTGGGCCCGGTGATGCTGGGTGACCTGGGCAATCAATGAACTGGAAATAAACTGGGTACCGGGTGTGCAGGGAAGAGGTCAGAGGCTCAAAGACACAAGAGCCGAATGGGGAAGACCTAGGTAGGCGGGGAGGGGGAATTGGGGGGAGGAGAGGGCGCAAAAAGAGAGAAAATGGGATGCATCTGTAAGACTGTCAACAATTTTTTTTTTTTAAAGACCCAGAGAGGGGGCGCTGACAAGGACACAGCAAGACGGGCGGCTTCCAAAGTCAAGCGTCGGGCAGGGCTCCCAGAGGGGCGGCCCCGGGGGCTCGGGGGCCGCCGGGGCCCCGCTCCCGTACCTTCCCAGCAGAGCTCTCCGCCGGGCTCCCTCCTCAGGAACTTGTACCAGAACCGGTCCACGCGGCCCGGCGCCCCCCCGTCCCGCGCCGCCTCCTCGGGCGCCAGCTCCACCTCCCCGAGCCACAGGCCCGGCTCCCGCGGCGCCCCCGCGCCCCCCGCCGGCCGCAGGCGCAGCGCCCCGCGCGGCTCCCAGCGCCCCAGCTCCGCCCGCGACCCCGCCACCAGCAGCTCCGGCCCGGCGCCCGCGCCCGCGCCCGCGGGCGGCACCACCACCCCGAACCGGAACCGCATGGCGGCGGCGGCGGCGGCGGGGCTCGGGGCCCGGCCCGGCGTCCCCGGGGGCAGAGCGGCCGGCGATTGGGCGGCGCGCGGGGCTGCGCCCGGGAGGCCCGGCCCGGGGAGCACGGCCGGGCTGGCCTTTTCGGGCGGCATCACGCGGCCCCGGGGGCCGATCTGAGGCCGCGGGAGGGAGGGGGTGCGCGGGAGCCACCAGCCCCCGTCCCGTGGAAGCAGGCTGGGCGCGCAGAGACAGCAGAAAGGGGAACGGAGAGGGGGTTCGGAAAGGGAGGAAAGCCTCTCTTACGCGCCCTGCGGTTTTGCAGTCATCTTTCCAAAACACTGGGAGTGATCTTTACGGGGTTCCTAAAGGAAAATGGGATGGCACATGGAAAGCAGCCTCCCTGATCCTGAAATGGGGGGGGCGGGGGGCGGGGGGGAGTGCGCAGATCCTTCCTGACCCTGAAGTGGAGGGACAGATCCTGGGCTGATCGCCGGAGAGCTGGGGACCTTACCCTGGCCACTCACCCCCACCCTGGCCCTCGGGCTCTTTAGGAGGGGTCAGACCAATCCTGGATTCCGCAACCCCTGTACTTGGGTTCTGGCTGGGGAAGAATTCAGACCCGAGGAGATCCAAATTGTTAAGAGAACGTTCATTTGGTAAATGACAGAGGTAGAAGAAGTGGTTCCCAGAAGAAATGGGCTTAGGAAAGAAGTTATAGAAGTAAAGGGAGGGTGCTTGGAGCTGCGGAGTGAGGAAGCTAATGGTAACCTGCCTTGGGAGGCACAGAGAAAGGCTGGGGTGCTCCTGGGAGGGAGAGCACACTGGGGGGCACTGGTCCTCTGTCCTAAGGGTGTAAGGATGCAGAGTTTAGGGAGTTCCCAGGGGAAGATTCCAACAGAACAGTCAGCAGTTCCCCACAGTGTGACTATTCGGGGTTGTGGTCTCCCCTGATTGATTGGCCCACTCTGGGGTAGGGGTCATTATTCAATGCAGCTGGCCCTGAGGGAAAGCGTGGGGGTCTCTGGTCTGATTTTGCTGCTTTTCTAGACCTGGAGCTGAAATACAACTGAGACACAGATGTTGTCTCTAGGGAGGAAAGGTCCGGGGATCCGCACTGCAGGACCAGCGATATGCTAGTGGAGGAAAAAGTCACCCTAGGATGAGGTCCCACCCTACAATAGACTGCCCCTTGCTGGGCACCTGAGGCTTTACACCCTGTGCTCTGTTGTACCTAGCCCACCGTCCTAACTCTTGTCCGTCTAACTGTCCACCACAAAATGCAGGTTTAAAATAATCTTGAAAGACCCTGCCAATCCTAAAGGTTCGGTCATTGGTAGAAGAGGCGTCATTTAGACCTAGAGTTGATGCATAAACAGTATTTTCCCTTGCCTAATCCAATTCCATGCCTGGAATAAAACACGATCACTTTATTTTTTTAATTATATTAGTTTCATATGTGCAAAATGGGTTTGTTTTACCTTCCCAAAGGGAAACAAAACAAAAACTCATTCTGTGATTATAAATATATGACATTCATAATTTTTAAATGGCATAAAAATAAAACCTTTTGTTGAAAACTTCCTTTCAGTAAATGTCAGCACTATTTTTTTCAACTTAAAACATTTTTATGCCAAAACCGGTTTGGCTCAGTGGATAGAGGATCGGTCTGCAGACTGAGGGGTCTCTGGTTTGATTCTGGTCAGGGATGTGCAAATTGGTTGTGGACAAGTCCCCAGTGGGGGGTATGCAGGAGGCAACTGGTCAATGTCTCTCTCTCATCGATGTTTCTGGCGCTCTCTCTCCCTTCCTCTCTGTAAAAAATCAATAAAATATATTTTAAAAAACTTTTATGTTAAGAAATACAGATTTTAACTATTTGGTTAAAAAGAAAACTATTTGTGAGGCTGAGCTTTATTTTTGTTGCTGCCATAAGATAAAGCAAATGTCCCGTTAATGTATTTGTTACTTTTTAAAATATATTTTTATGGATTTTGGAGAGAGAGGAGGGGGGAGGAAAGAAACATCAATGTTGAGAGAGAATCATTGATCAGCTGCCTCCTGCACGCCCCACTCTGGGGATGGAGCCTGCAACCCAAACACATGTATGATTGGGAATTGAACCGTGACCTCCTGGTTCCTAGGTCAACGCTCAACCAGTGAGCTGGGCATATTTGTTACTTTTTGATCCTTTAATAAAATTGTCCTTGTGTCCTTACAATTGTATTTTCACAAACACTTAAATAACAGTCTCTTCTGTGAACTAAGGACATATTGTTTATCAGTATTTGGAAACATGTGAATAGCAATAGAAAGCCAGAATGTCATGCATTCAGAATATCATAAGTACAATGGAAAGTACAAAAAAGTAAACCATACAAACTCAGTCTCTCTGTAGAATAATTAGTAAATTCATAATATGTTTTACTCTTCAATATTGGTATTCCACTCAATGTTTGGTTGGTTGCTAAGCTTAAGTATAAACACAAAGAAAAATGTGATGACAGCAAGGCTGGCCAAACATGGCTGATTCATTTGCAAAGCAGACGTTAAATCACAGTGGCATGTGAGTCTGTTTATTCATTGCTCTTACAGAATACAGAATATTCTTAGACTAATTTTAGGAAACTAGGAGTCATTTGGCCATGCAAGAACACCAGGAGCTGACAGTGTAGGACTTCCTTGTTGAAGAAAGACTGCGGTTTCTTGTGTACTTTCCAGATGGCATTTTCCCACCTGCTCTTTCAAAGTGAGAACTGTCCATTTTCGGCGTAAAGAGGCAAACTGAGGCAAGCTTGAAATTGTCAAAAAATACGATTTTATTAAGAAATTGCAAAATAAAGGAGTTTATTAAAGAAAACCTATAGGAAAGTCTGTTGAGGGTTTGCGTTTGCTGTATTTTTGAGCAGGGAATGGAAAAGGAAGAGTTCAGTAAGACTGAACCTGTTAAAATAAAAAAACAAACAAGGACCAGCTTTGAAAATTTCCTAAGCAGACAAATACAGTCCAGTCATACAAACAACACTCCATCTTATTTTACAAGATCAACTTGAACTGGGTCATTTCTTTTTATGTCTTGGGAAACCATAAGCAAAATTTCCCAAGGTTAATATGAGGTAACCACTGACCAATTCCCTATCATTTAAGAGAAGTCCAATATTATTAGCTTTCTGTAAGTCAGGATTTCATAGGAAATCAGTTTCCCAGTCCTTATGTTTTTTGTCCCTAGGGGCACATAACTGAGATTTTTCCATTTTATCCTCTAGTTCCATTTTATTTTTAATTATTTCACACTATTCTATATATAAGATAGTAACAAAAATAGAAAACTATATTTGTTCAACAGGCATTAGTTCTCCTCTCTCCTTACAAAGCAGTTGAGTAACTTTAACAGTTGGAAGTAGCCCTTTTAAGCACCTAAACAAAGTATGTAACGGTGTATTTTATGACATGATTTAAATATAGTACTGAACATGATGGATACATTGTATTTTAAATAAAATACAACCAGAAAGGAGAGCAAGTCCAAAATACGGATTAAAGAACAGGGCCATGCATCAATTATATTTTATCAATCATTTGAATTTGTTAACCATGAAAACAGTAACAGCCATTGAGCCTTATTATATGTTTTTTATACTCATATTATCTTATGTAATTATCTCACCAATTCAGAGGTAATTACTATTGTTATTCCCAATTTTAAATGTGAGGGAACTTGCATAGAAAGGTCCAATAAATAGGCCACAACAAGGAAGGGACAGAGCTATAAGTCATTCATTCAGTTTATAGTTAAAATATGTACAATGCATGTAACTACATTATATGTACTATTCATAGTTTGATTCCTGATAAGGGAAAGCATTACAGAATGTAATTAAATCCCAACATATTTAAATAGGTTACTCTTCATTAGCTCTAAATAAGCAATGAACTTCCTATAATTATTTCCTATAACTAACTCCATCCTTAGGAATGATGGAACAGATGGATCATAAGCAGTATTCTAAACTGATTGATGAGTCTATAAAGACGTAAGTATCTTATTATTTAAAAATGGTCATTTTATGCCCTTATATGCCTATCTTCTTGGTAATGGAAATACAGATTTAAGAAGCCAAGGTGAATAATTTTCTAGTTATTAAGCTGTGTTATGCTCAGTTCTTTTTCCTAGTTGAATTCTCCATGTGAGTATTCTCATGATGCTTCATAAAAATGATTATTTCTGAAATTGATTTGAGGTCAGATTCTTGATGCATGCTATAAGAACAGTTGAATTTAAAACAAGAGTCATATCAGTAGAGCCACAATTCTAGTAATATTTTTTAAACACCAAACCCATTTCTTTCATTGAATTTCATTTCTATAGTGCAATCTTATATATAACAATGCTTGTTGAAGAATGGGTCATAAATTCAAATTTAGAGTTTCAGGATCCAATTCAAATGATAATTTTTTGAAGATCCCTCAGGGAAAGCTGTTACTGGGCTCCCTTGTGATTTATGTTTTTCTGAAACAATCTTTCACTAGTCAGAGGGTTGTCATAAATTTTTCCTTATAATATTGTGTATGTATACCCATATTCTCTGATGCAAACCACATTTCATCCACATAGTTCAGGAAATATCATAACTATTCATTTATTACTTGTCAGAACACATCTTAGCATTTTATGTGTCACATATGTGTCACTATTTCCCATTTTGTAGCTTAAAAAAAAAAAAAAAAAAAAAAAGGAAACAAACAGAACCTTCCAGAGAGGATTTGATTACAGCTTTTGTGCATTGTAACTGACTTTTCTGGGTTGGAAAACTGTAAGTTAGGCTGCTTGAAATCCCTTTAAGAACCTGGAGCAGTAGAAGGATATAAGCTGGACCAAAGCTTTATCCAAAAATCCCACAACATTTCTCAACTATGTAAACAATTCGTGTCCTTTGGGTGCACATATAAATCTCTTATCTCCCGAGATTCCAGTGATTCCCTTCCCACCACATCTCGCCATAGAAAAGGACTG